CATAATAATGGAGACCTAGAAAATGGGCATTTTCGATTAGCGGGAATTGCAAAAAATTTCGAAAGAAAAAAAAAATGGCGTCCAGTGAGGAGATTCGTCTTCTCTCTCTAATCGAATCTTCCGACGCCGGTAATATCTTCGCCTCCGTCTCCGATTACCTTCGACCTTTCTCTGCTCTATCAACAACTTCTCGGAAACAAGACCCAACACTTACCGTTCGATCCCTCGGCAAGCGATTCCTTCCTTTCCTCAACAAATCGATCTCGCTCTTACCCAAACGCCTCTCCGTCGCGAATCCCGACAAGGAATCTCGTGAATCTGCCGAAGATTTGTTCCGTGCTTATGAACTCTGCTTGGATTGCTTAGAATTGGTCTCCTCTCAGTTAGCCTGCAAGCCACATACCGTTCAACTTCAGAGATTACGAATGGTTTACTGTCTCGATGCTTGGGGTTTTCACGATATTGTGTATACCCAAGCGTTTAAGGTTCTGGAGAAGCTAAGAGGCTCCGATATCAGTTCCCGGAACTGCTTGTTGTTGCCGAAGGTTCAGGACGGAGAGTCGGAGCTGGCGATGGTTCTGGTTGAGGCTGTGGCGGCTATCTTCAAGGCTGTGGCAATGGTTCAGCAAACAGACGATAAACAGTACAGGAAATGTCTTGTCTTGCTCGAGGAGGTCAGAGCTTGGTTCAGGTCAGTGTGGGGAGTAACTTTTCTTCGTTGATTATAGATCAATGCTGCTTCTTTTTTAACTAGAAATCACATAACCTGAAGATTTCTTACTTTACAGGGTCTTAGATACCAAGGCGTATGAGAAGTTGCACAGAGTGCTCGTGGCAAATCTGGGCAAATGTGCTATTTCTCTGGTTAAAGAAGCTGAGCGTTTTGATGGGGATTTTGTGCTTTCTTTCTGTGACTCAACTGTGAAGGAACACTATGAATCTGCATTGTCAAAAGATCGAATTTATAAGGTGACCCTTGTTCTTAAATGTCTTATCTTCTTGATGCTCCTTTTCTTGCACTTGCTGTCATCTAATAGGTGATTAAATCCAATGCCCATTTCCAGTTTGCTCGTGAGGTGCTTTCTGTTCTGTTCGGATTTAAGGATCGAAGAATGTCAGTGACCATTAATATATCAATGTCTGTGTTGCGCAGCTTAACTTGCCAATTGATGGTAAGCCTTGCATCGTAATTATCTATCGTCCTGTGTACATCGAGTAACTATTTCAACGATAAAGATTTCCATTTATTCTGGTGTTACCTGCTCTGTTGAAACTCCACCGCAAACTTGCAGTGTCTTATAACTACTCCCCTCTTTGTCAGGTTGAAACCAATGAGGATTTCATGGAGTTTGTTGACCTGGTTGCTTATTGCGCTCACAAATTCCGAGCATCAGGAGACATGTATTGTGTAGAAGTTTCAAAAAGGTTAAATGAGATAGCAGCTATTTTTTCCGAGGTATTTTTACCCTCCTCTGCATGTAGACCCGCCTCAAATTATGCAGAAAGTATCCTAGTATATGAATTAATTTATATATTGACTGCTTGGCAGGCAGTACCACAACTTAATCTGATTCTTAGACTTTATTCGGCGGGGCTGTCCATCACAGTTTGCGATTCCAAGTTTGGAGAAAGTAAGGTTAAAGATTCAACAGATGATTGGAAGATTCAAGCTATGCTTGATGATGAAGCAAGATGGCAAAGCTTAGTTTCTTTACTCGGTTTGGTTGATAGTTACTCAGGCGATGTGGGCAATCAGACTGATGTACCATTGATTGGTGGACATAGGAACTATAATAGTAAAACAACAGACAGGAACCAGAAGACTTGTTGGCCACAATGCTTAGATGCCTTGAGATTCTTGTGCCAACCACTTGCGGACTTGATAAATTCAGTGAAAAGAAAGATTGTGCTGGAGACAGAAATTTCCTGCTCTTCTGCTCATCTTTCTACTATTCAAGATGCCTTTCTCCAATTTTGTGATGGTTGTCTCTTACTTCAGAGGTAAGGTGATCACTATCTGTCTCTTATGCTATATTCCGTAGCTTTTAGTCAGAATTCTGTTCTTCATCAGAAGATTGTTTTGCTCGTCATATGGTGAAATTAACTTAAATATATTTGGGTGGATTTTAGAATAGATAGTTCCTTAAGTTGTTGATTTCATTCATTTTTTTTACAATGGTAATATGCAAATGAGTGGCAAGTGAGATGACGTTGAAATCTTCAATGCACTTGGAAATTTGAAACTATAGTAATTATTTTGTGTGATATTCTTCTGTGAGTTGAATGCATTTCTCACTTTTCTTTTTCCCACTTCTTAGGTGCTCGTCTGACAACGGAGGTAGAGAAACTGACAATAACAAAGCTCTGTTAAACGTGGCCATGGGTGCTTTCATTGTCTCATTGAGAACCCAGATTAAATTGGAGGTTTGGTATTTACGTGCAGTGCATACAAATCAATGGATAAACATATTCTCAAGTTCCTGAAATTGTCATCATAAATCTAACTTGGTGATCCAACATTTTCCTTTCCAGATCAGTGCGCATCTAGTTGAGGATGTAATTTCCAGTCCATGGATCCGATCTCAAGAACTCAAGTATCTATTTGTGTTGCTTTACAATATTGGTATTGTTTTGTACAGAAATAAGGAGCTTAAAAAGGTGGAGTACATGTGTGTTATAAATACCTTGTTTCTTTTGGCGTTTTATAAAGTTTCCATGCAAACAAGTATGAAAACTGGATAAAAATTTGATCCTGCTTTATATATGTGGACCCATGCATCTATATTGAATATTCTTCTTCATAGTACATTATAGAGTAAGTGTTCTACTTTGCAGGCTTGTGAAGCGCTCAAGCTCTGCTCCAAGGCATCATGGAGATGTGTTGAACTACACTGTCAGATGTTTGTAAATCACTCTAGTTCATCTGATAATGAGCTGTCAGAAGATGCCATTATGGATTTTGTGGGCGAAGCATGTAATGCGTGTGCATTCTACCTAGATATATTCCAGCAATGTGGCAGATGTAACATTAGACAAACAACTGTGCATATTCTAGAAAATTGGTTGTCAGCTGAACATCTGATTAGGAGGTTACCAGGCCCTACGGCAATTGTAAAACAGTGGGTTAAGGTAAATTTTATATGATGTACCTTTTTTTTTACATATTTTAAACTTCAAGTATCTGAGTGTGTGCTATCAACAGATAGAACGGGGATGTCACACGAATCTGGATGCAGCTGGTTCTTGTACAACTTTGTACTCATTGCTATCATCAGCTAAGAAAAATTCAAAGCGAGCAATTGGAAAAATCGTAGAGCAGGTTGGGATCCTAACAACCTTTCATTTATAGTTTAAATAAAGTTTGTGAAGGTCCTAACTTGAAGCGGCATGCTACTATAAATTCCTTTTGTTTTTGTTTTTATCGGTGGATGTACTCTTACTTATTTGTAAAATTGGTGAAAATAATACTGATTTGTATTTTTTTTATTTAATTTGCTTTTTCTCTTTTCTATAATGCTTGCAGGAGCTTCTTGCCTATGAGGAAGTCTTCCCTTTAAGCTCAAATCTTGGTCAACAAACGCGAATCAAAATAGCAGATATCCTTTTGAAGGATGTTTATGTCACAAAGAGTATGCATGTAGAGAGATCAAGAATCTTAATATGGAAAGCAAGAATGGCAAGGACATCTGGAACTGAACATCTATCTGACTGCATTTGTTTTTTGTCAGAAGCAATCTCTTTATTGGTATATCTCTTTTACTACCTTCAGAACTAAAACACATTAATTGCTAGAAATATTTTTGTGACCAAGTTCTTGTATGTATGAAAGGAGGGTGAGGTACATAATGGGCCAAATAAAGAGGGTACTCCATCTTCTCACCAGTTACCTATTGCGTATTGCTTGAGAGCTTTCTGTATCCAGGAAGCTGAACCAAACTCGAAGGTGCAAATGCATAATACATATCTTCTAATTGTTGACAGTTTATCATTCAGTTTGTGGTATGTGGTTCAATATTTAATTTAATCTTCTTGAGACATTTTGCCTCATCACTTTTGTGCAGAAAGTCTTTGAAGATATTAGCACTTCCCTAAATCTTTGGTTGAGGATTCCTAGCATAGATGAAACTGAGGACAATTTACCAACAGAGAACATAATCCCTTTACTATATTATATGATTGATTTGATGTCAGTGAAGGTATCCTTTTTCATACTACCTAGCTGGATTATGTCTTTTTTGTGGCATACTTTACAGTGCGTGCTTCATTTCTATCTGACCCTTGTTACTTTTTCCCATGTCCAGGGATGTACAAAGCTCCATCATGCTATATACCAGCTGATTTTCAGATTATTTAAATGGAAGAATGTCAAATTGGAAGTCTGCCTTGCAATGCTGTGGGAATGTAGAAGGCTAAGTCATGCCTTATGCCCTTCCCCCATAAGTGATGCCTTTATCCTGAACTTATCAGAGAGTTTTGGTGACAAATCTACGTGCATTGATTTCTGGATAGATTGCCTGAAAGATTCAAAAGCAAAGTTAATTGGGTTCCAGCAGATCTTTCATGATTTACATAACAATTTATTGTGCACGTCCAATAAAGATGAAGGTCCCTTTCAATCAGACATTACAATAGATGATATCAAAGATGCAGCTTCAGAACTCATTTCAAGTGTAAGAAATCTATCTGTTGACTTTTTTCTTGCAAAACAATATCTATAGTGAAATCAAATTTTGCTAATGATGTCATTTCAGGCTTCAGTCTCTGGTCATTCATCTTTTGAAGCTGCATATCTCTATTATGATCTCTGTGAAAGGCTCATATCATTTGGAAAACTTTCAGAGGTAAAATTGTTAATACATATTTTACATCTATTTCCACAATTTTTTTGTTGTGAGTTATTGCCGTTTTCATTGTTACAATCTCTTGATGGTAAGCTGTTTTCTTTTACAGGCTCTTTCCTTTGCAAAAGAAGCCTATAGGATACGAACTCTTATATTAAACGATAAATTTAAGTATACTGCTGAGAAGCAGTTGGAAGAACACAATGATGCAGGGAAAATATCGGAGATACGGACTTTTAGCATAAAAAATTTCCAAGTGTTAAAATCGCCAGCAACTGATTTTTGGCCTTGTGGGAATTTTCTCTGGGACATCAAGCGCTGCTACTTGAGCCCTTGGAATGTTCTCCAGTGTTATTTGGAAAGCACCCTTCAGGTTCTATTTCTTCTCAGACCTTTTAGTCTAGCCAGACTCCATCACTTCTCTGTTTCTTGATTTGGTGCCAAATGTGCAGGTTGGAATTGTTAATGAGCTAATAGGGAATGGACTGGAGGCAGAAACCCTTCTATCATGGGGAAAAGCCATTTCATGTTCGCAAAGTCTGTTCCCTTTTGTAGTTGCATTTTCTTCTGCCTTAGGTATGGAACTACTTTTGTTTTTTTTATCAACAGTCTTGTCTTTTATTGTAGGTTTCCTTATTGCTTTTGTTAATAAGCCACTTGATTTTGTTTTCTTCTTCTTTAATTTCGCAAGGAAATCTTTACCACAAAAAGCAGATTATGGATTTGGGAGAAAAGGAACTCCGAAATGCTAAAGACATAATTATTGCTAATCAGAGAGAATTTTCTTGTGTAAAGTGCAAACTGAAGTTAGAGGTTACACTGGATAAGCAACTTGGAGACATATCTCGAAAACAAATTGATGATGTTGGAGTTTCCCAGACAGATGGATTCTTGCATGCTGAAAGTCTGTTTAGTACTGCTCTGGGAAAAATTTGTTGCTCAGCATGGAAAAGCTGCGTAAGATCTCATGGGGAAGAAATTTCTGAGGGAACAGCGATTGATAGAAATGGAAGGGAAGTTTTAGGACATAAATCAAGCAAAATAAAAGTCAAGGTAAATAAGGAGCCAACCGCAAGCAAAGGCTCCAGGAGGGGTCGAAAACCTAAAGGTTCCCAAACTTGTGTATCAAAGGACCATGATTTGATACCTGAGCCAACTTCAAGGCTGACTCGCTCAATGCGTCAGTCACTTAAAGAGCAATGCCAAAACCATAATGTGCATGAAGTTGTTTCAAAGAAGCCTAGTTTCTGTGATGTATCTGATGGTTCTGGGGGTGAAAAGGTGTTGTTGGACACAAAAAACGCAGTCCAAGGCTTTTGCATTTGCTACAAAGGAAAATTTCAGCAGTGCCTCTCTGTAGAAGTATCTGAATCTGGGTCTCTCAACAAATTAGTAAATTTGAAATGGGAAATTTGCCATAGGAGGCTTGCGTCCTCAATACTTGTTAAGCTCGGTATGCTCTAATACCTTATGCATCTGCTCATGCATGCATGCATATGAAGTTGGCCTTTTGACATTTTCCTGTTGATAACAGTCTAATAGCTTAATAGGGTAGAGGAGAACTGATATCCAGTAATTAATAAATCTATCCACTGTTGATGAAAAGTAAATGGTATGGAAATCTTTAGTGAGTTTCGAGGCCAAATTAGTTTTGATCTTTTGTTTTCTGACCATTCTCATGTGTATACATGAACAAATGTGGATGCTACTCTTTTGTTTATTCTCTGATAAAATAGACTTGGTATATACACATCTCAGTCACTAAGCATTGTTATAAGACGTGTTTATCTGCTTATAGTTTAGTTTTCCAATTCAGGAAAATGTTTGGCGGACTCTGGTAGAGTTCATCTAGCTCATGAGGCACTACTGCATAGTGCCGCTGTTTTATTTAAAAGCAACTGGTCCAGCCACAACCTACCTTCTGTCAGCCAGTTGCTGGAGTTTATTGGGAAAGAAGTTACAATGGATGTATTTGCTATTGATCGTGCAATAATACTATACAACTTGTGCTGGTTAAGTTTGCGGAATTACCACTACAGGGAGAGCAGGTATGTGTGACATCTATTGGTTGTACTCTTGTCAGTTTTACCATGATTAAGCTTTTGTCCTCCCCCTCCCCTGATGCGATATTTATGCCATGAGAAAAATCATCTAAATTGACCAAATATGCCCTTTAGAATTGTGTACCTGTTATCCTTCTTAGCCTCTTGATTGTTACCGTTAACAGGTCTATTTGCTGTGATCTGTCTGATATTCCTTTCACAAAACTGGTGTCATGGTTGATGTTAGCATTTGTACTCAGCCGAGAGGTTCCAATACTATTTCAAAAGGTAAATGCTCTGCTTATTCGATGGTAACCTGTTCTTGCCTGTCCTGTTTTGATCTTTGATTATTCTATGGTATAAAACTGTTTTTTGTTCCCACAGGTTTCAAGATTGCTTGCTTCTTTATATCTACTTTCTACATCAAGTGCTGAATTCTCATTCGAATGTGATGGAAATGAGCTGTCTACAAGTCATTGGGTCTCATATTTCCATCAAGCCTCGCTTGGTACACATATTAGTTACCATTTCATTTCAAATTTAAGCCGAAGACACAAATTGCCTTGTGTCTCAGATAAAGAGGTAACAGGAATAGGTTGTATATGTATTTTCAGCTTGTCAATTTGTGGATTAAATCTTGTAGCCCAGTGTTATCAATGATATTTTACGTATTTATTAGTTTTCTATTTGGAAGTACATGTTGTGTCTCTTATCTTACAGGTTTTATTTTCAGTGTACAGAGGCTACCTGCTCGAGTTGTATGGTTCCTGAGGAGTTGGACTTACCCAGGTATGAGATAAAGTTAACTTAAGCAACCAGACATGCTATATAGTTTTCTGTTGGCTTACCCTATTTTTTCTTACTCGTCACTCTAGGCTTGCTCCTGAGCGTACTCAAGATCTTGTACAATTTGCTAAAGAATTCTTCAACAATCTTCCAAGCTCAGCAATCATCTGTATTAGTTTGCTTGGAGGCGCTTTAAATCGATTGTTACAGGAGCTAATGCAAATTCATTCACCTGTTTGTGCCTGGGTGCTCGTATCACGCCTAAACTTAAATAGTCAACCGATTGCTACACTTCTACCTGTAGATTCAATTCTAGAAGGTAAATATGAAATGTCTACTGTTTGATCAATGGTGTTTCCTCTTTGTACTCATGATCTCATTGATTCACTAGACATGTCAGATGACGGTGCAAATCTTAGCTGTACGAAGGTGACTCAAGTCAATAATTTGGAGAGGCGCTGGCTTTGTCCATGGGGTTCCACCGTGGTTGATGTTGTAGCTCCAGCGTTTAAATCAATAATGGAGGAAAACTTCACATCTGCTGCTGACTTTCCTTCAGAAGACACAAAAGAGAGTAGATGCTTGTGGTGGGAAAAGAGAAAGAAACTTGATCACCATCTTGGAAAATTCCTAAGGTACCGTATGATGGCTCTCTTTCTATAACACGTATGATGGCTCTGTCTGTTTTACGGTTCAGTTAGATCAATCACTTCTTGTCATATTTCTTGACATTTTGCAGAATATATTCATGCCCACCAAAAGCTTTTACATTTTAATCTCTTCTTGTTAAGATTTTTGAATACAGGACTGTGTTTTGTTCCATCTTCTGAATGCACTACTAGGCACGAGTCTTCATGTTTGTTAACAAGATTTTGTATCCTCTCTTTTGTTCTAGGAATCTAGAAGCTTCCTGGCTGGGTCCCTGGAGATGTTTGCTTCTTGGAGACTTGTCAAACTACAAATTGCCCGACTCTGTGCAGAAAAAAATAGTAAATGATCTCAAATCCAAGTGCAAAATGGAAGTAAATGAGATGCTTTTGAGGGTTATTCTTGGAGGCGGGATTGAAAACTTTAAAGGAGAAGCATGCATTGCTCAGATTTCTTTAAGAAATGGTTGCTATGTAGGTAGAGGGGGATATCTTTATGAAGAGGATAGCTGTAAAACTCCTACTACTGCATCTAATATTTCTGAAAGTAGGCATGGGTTGGCCTTAAAACTGATACATGAAGCAGCAGCCAAACTAGAGCAACAGGACGGACATGAAAATAGAGAACCTATCATTCTTGTGTTAGATCCTGAGGTTCAGGTTCGTCAAATATATTCCTTATATCACTTCCCGGCACATGTATTACAACGTTTGATTGTCATTGACAAGTTCTGCTTGGTTTATCTGTTAAATCTTGTATGAGACCAATCCTTGGGATTGATGAACATGAAATTGTGCCAGGATTGGTTTAAGTGTATTGGTTAACTAAACTGCTGATTTTGATTAGATGCTTCCTTGGGAGAGTATTCCAATACTTCGGAAACAGGAGGTCTACCGCATGCCTTCTGTTGGTAGCATATCGTCTGTGCTGAAGAAGCGCTCTCTCCAAGGAGAACCAGCAATATCTCATGTTGCTGCTTTCCCTCTGATTGATCCTCTAGATTCATTTTACTTGTTGAACCCCGGTGGTGATCTCACTAATACACAACTCGAGTTTGAGAGTTGGTTCAGAGATCAAAACTTTGAGGTAACATATAAATAGAGCATACTCGTCGTAAAACTTCTCTTTTATGCTTAAATTTTCAAAATTCCATACTTTCAGGGGAAAGCTGGGTCAGTACCAAGTACTGAAGAGTTGACAGAAGCATTGAAAAATCATGATCTCTTTCTTTACTTCGGTCATGGAAGTGGTATGATTCCTCTAGCACTCTAGATTAAATGGTTTAAGCCCGTCGTTGGTGCAATTTTCGTTTTACTTTTGAGATTGGTTTATAAGAGATCTTCTACTGTATATGATCCGCAGGAGCACAGTATCTGTCTAGGCAAGAAATAGAGAGTCTAGATAAGTGTTCTGCAACTTTCCTAATGGGGTGCAGTAGTGGTTCGCTATGGCTAAAAGGCTGCTACATCCCACAAGGCATACCACTCTCTTATCTCTTAGCTGGATCTCCAGCCATTGTGGCGAATCTATGGGACGTAACAGACCGAGACATTGATCGGTTTGGGAAAGCGTTGTTGGAAGCTTGGTTGAGAGAGAGATCAGA